CAAATTTCGTCTGTGCCTGTGTATGAACGCTTTGTGATTACGGGTGAAGTGCTGTGTATGAGCAATGGACTGCACTTCTCGGAAATGTAAAACGAATAAAAAAGTTAGAATAATTATAAGAATGCAAAAAGAACAAACTAAAGTTGGCAAAAACTTTTCCTTATAGGTTCGTATCTATGTGCACACGCAAGTACTTAAAGAATTGCAAAAAGTTTTCTAGCTGAAAAGTTTAACGACAGAAAGTTTTGAAATTCAAACATTTGCAATTTCAATTTTACTTTGCCGTTATTTAAGTTTTTTATTTGTTTTTCTTCTACTGTTGCAACTATTCGGAAAGAATAAGAAAAAAATATATTAAAAAGTTGAACAGTTTTGATCCAGTTTAAAACTGATAACGTAAATATTTAAAGCATTTTTAAGTAACCAACCAAGTTACGCTGCTTAGCACAATTAAAGGCAGAAATTTTCAAATAGGGGATTACCTAAAAATTTAGTCGAATAATATATTATTTATTAAAAATCTACTTTTACGATTTTTTTTTAAATTGTTTTACGTCTTTTTAAAATTTTTGCACGGCTTAAAAGTTCGTAATTACAGGAAATTTACTCCTTTGCTTGTTTCGTCAAGGGCATTCGTAGTCCTTTGAAAATTGAGTTGGACTTTTAACCTTAGCTTTTTTTAAAGCTAACATCTTTATAATGCAGTAAAAAAAAGTTGAATATTAAAATATAATGAAAAGACCTGCTAAACAATTCACATCTAATCATTTATATATCATGCTGCTGTTCTCCAATCGATCTATCACTTTCTTAGATGTTCTTTTTTTTTCACGTTTCCCTAAATTTCACATTGAAGTATTTTGTCTTGGTTTCTTTTGATATGCTTTTTACGTACAGCACATATATGAGTCAGTCTAGCTCATGATTATAGGGTGTCTTATTCGACTGTTTCAAAAAAACCACGAAGTATATAAAATATATATAAAACTTTATATCCATATCCTTTTGGCTACTCATCACAGTACTATCTTATAAAATTTGATATGAACCTTCGGTACATAATTTTTCAACATAGACCATAAAACCTTGCATTAACTGTTGAGATTGTATTCTCTATGGTCACTGCAACAAAGTTGATATCGGTGAACAGGGCACCAACTCAACAAAATTGATTTCGGTGAAAAGAACGCCAAGTTATTTAAAAATGTTAACATCTTCAAATGGTCTATCGTTTATTGTTAAGTTATTGATACTATTGAAGTAGTGTCAAACAACTTTACCAACTTTGTTTACCACGTATTTTATTTTCTAATGCAATCAAAAAAGCATTTGCCTATTTCCTACTAAAAGTCTTAGGTTTTCTGCACATCATCACAATTGCATTAATATATCTAAAACCGTCAAATAACGCCGATACACGATTAAAGTGCATAATCCCTAAATTTTTACAAAATGGAAGATCATTTGATTGTTTAGCCTTTACAGATGCATATTCAACCAGATGCGGTATATATGGTCGGCTTACTGTCGCTATTTGATAGCGTCGATTAACATCAGATTGTTTGTTGCCTGATCCTTCATTTATATAGGATCATCTATCTTAAGAAATAACAAATTAAAGATAAATCTTCAGAAGCCTCCTAATTAGAGTTGGTCATTATCAGTTTCTGGGACATAGAGACTAAAAAGGCATGACAAGAGGAAGGAATAGAATCTGATTTACCACAGTAATTAAACGAAGCAGTCAAAACAATCGCATTGAAAGTGGGCTTATTTGCTAATTAATATATAAAAATATAAAAAAAAAGTTGTTAAAACATATAAAAAATACAATTAAATTAAATTCACGAAATAAATCTTTCTGTTGTACTCCCACATGAAGTCGTTACTTAATTTACCTTAAATGTATAAATAAGTATACCAATAAAAAATAAATAAGTGTTAAAAAAATCATTTTCAATATTAAAAAGAACTTTTATGCAGTGATTTAATATTACATATTAGAAAGGTTAAAACTGTCTTGGCATATCTGCAACTACTCTGGGCAATTGCCTAAATAAAATTTAGCGTATGCGTACACCTATTTGTTATATAATAAAGCATTGCGAATGTTCAATTAAGGCAGTAATGCCAAAAATCAACAATAAATTCCATGATATTATTATGCGTAATAAACTTATTATAAAACGTAAAGTTATTGAAACTATAGGCATATATCATGGCACGGTATTCACATTTTCCAATTGTAAACCATTAGACAGATCTTGTAACAAGTTCAAAGTAACGTTATAAAATATTTTAACATAATCCAGATCAATTTTTGTATTGATTCATTTTAATGGAACCATCATTATACACAAACAAGCCAAAATGAAAGACTTTCCCATGATGGTCAGACTTTATATAACTTTAATGTCAGATTGTTAGCGTCAGATTTTTAGGAATAAAAAAGGAATTTTATTAGTGAACTATCTTCAAACTGATATTATTTTACTTAGAATATTATTCAAAAATTGTGTACAACTTGAATGCAAATATTTGTCAAAAAAAAAACACCAGTTTGCAAAAGAGAAAATTATTTTAAATCTATATTATGTACCTTCTTCCACATCTGAAAAACCGATCGCTAGTTATGGCACCAATTGTAGCAACAACTAGCTTATTCTCCAAATTTAATGCCTTCTGGATCTACTCACATCTCAAAAAATCTTTTAATAGATCATGATGCAAACCTTTCAGAAAATCATTGCAGATATAGAATCCATTAATTGGAGCATCTTTAAAGAGTATTGAAGTAGGGGTAGATACTTATTTTTACATTTAAGTCATTTTTTTTATTTTCATTTCGTAAACTTAATGAACAAAAGTATTCTACACACGACTATATTAAGTCGTTTCCTTTTGCTTTATCTTTATCTTTATAATAAACTCTTAACTATAATAGTGTTTAACGTTCTATTAGTGTATTTATGACGGTTGTTAATCAGATTTAACATCATCTGATTAATTTTGTTGAATTATATAACAATATGTTTCATTCAAAATTTAAATACAACCTTGCGTTTTAATTGTATCCATTGTATAGTGTTTATTATCATAAAGTATATCATAATAAATGCTATTTATTACAATGAGAGACAATTATAACAATCAACTTTTCAGTTTAATCGTACTATACTAACTAAATATAATTTTATATCAAATCGATGTTATAAATGATTTAGTTTTTATTAAATATTTCGAGAATTATATTAAATTATAGATCAAACAAGTTTAGATAAACCAATAGTGAGTGATAAACGACGCTGATTAAATTTTTATATTTATTTTAAAAAATTGGATTATACACATTTGTATTACAATTTAAAGGATTTAGTTATTTTTAGAAGTTAATTAACACATTGTTGATCGGTCACGAGTTAATTGAAGTAATGAAAACGAGGCGGTAAATTTGTTTAAATTCAGCTTTCCGAAGATTTCAATAAAATTTTTAAACAAACTCAAGATTCCGGATTGAACTGCTTTTTTAAATTAAATATATGTATATTTGCATGTGAGACTACAATATTTCAATTAACATGTTTTTTTTATTCTTGAGCAGAGTTAACATCGTGCTAATTTAATAGTATTTTGAATAATAATAATATTTACATGAACCAAATAGAAATCGAGGCAACCAATGGTTTCAGACAAAAATAAAAGAAGAAGACCCACGATCATTATTTATTTTTATTTGTATTCGTATATATTATTTTAATAAATATGATTACGAAACTGAAAATATAATTAAATATATATTTTATATAATTTTATTTTAAGACCCGAATATAACCAAATATTTATATATATAACCATTTTTTATAAGAACTTATCCCACTATTATAAAAAATGGTAATATGTATAATTATTTAGTTATATTCGGGTCTTAAAATAAAATTATATATAATATATATTTAATAATATTTTCAGTTTCGTAATCATATTTATAAAAATAATATATACGAATACAAATAAAAATAAATAATGATCGTGGGTCTTCTTCTTTTATTTTTGTCTGAAACCATTGGTTGCCTCGATTTCTATGTTTCGATTTAAAATGTATGTCCTAGTGACGAATTAACTGTCTTACTCTGCATTCGATTTGACTGATTATAAACTAGTCCGATTAAACTAGTTATTGATAGGGTAGTTAAAAATTTTATTCGATCAACTAAATTCTCGTTACGAATATAATTAGAGTAGTCCGTAACAGAATGTGCTTAAACTAAACATTTTTTGTCTTTTTTACAGAGCAGTATAAAAATCTTTTTGAAAGAACTATAAAGACAAAAAAAGCATTATTATTCGGCAAGTCTTCGCTACATAAAAGAAAAACCAAAGTTAAATTACTGACTTCACTTAAAAATGATTATTTTATATTTATATATTATTATTAGAAAGTGCAATGATACTTTCTCTTAGTGAAATATATTTTTTTACCTCTGCAAAAAAAAAAAATTTGCTAAAACTTATATCTCTGGGTTCAAGATCCTAAACCTTATTCGACTGAAAGAAAACTCTATTGTGTACTGAACATACTCCTTGGCACACATAAGGCACGCGCAGATAAGATGTATAAAAGTTTTACTTTACATTTCGAAGAACCTGCCTTTATCACTCCTTTAGTCACATTTCTTAAAGGTGATACTAAACAGGAGCATGTGCAGTTAAGGTATTTGTAATTAATCTAAGCTAATATGGGCTAGGCTACGACCAGCTTGAACTATTGTGCTCTGTAACTAATATAATCTAAGGTTTAATATTATAGTTTGTTTTATACAGCAGTTATTAAAGAAAAACGAATATTAAATTATTGACTTCTATATACAGATTATTTTACTTGTTCCTAGTTATTTATGATCATGCATTTAGTATAATTTGAAAAATATCATAAAATTTTTAAAATTAATAATACAATATTTTATAATTACTCAAAATGATAAATTTTTTTAAAATATTACCTTTGTTTGGATCTTTTTTTCGTACGCAACCTTCTTTAATTTATTTCAGTAGAATTATCTGAATAACTTAAATGCAATAGGAAAGCCACAAACTGTCAACTATTGAACATTAGGGGATCCATGCTTCCAACAAGAATAGTCCGAGTGGAGTTCAATAATGAATGTAGCAACTTCTTTGAAGATATTAAGTAATCCAAATAAAAAAAAAAGGCCAAGATAAAATCAAA